CCATTTGATATAAATTTCTGTTTGTACATTTCTGAGAAGCCATCATGAACAGCTTTCGAAAACCTTCGTCGAACACAGTTTTTGCTGAATCCTAACGATGTTACGAAAAAGCCTTGCTCCGTGCTCGTGATTTCCGCTTCTGGCCTGTGACGACGGTACGTCGTGTGTGTATGGATGTACTCAACTGTGTTTAATACTCTGAATTTTAATTAGAAAAAATAAGTGTCAGGAAGGCCCTGCTTTCTAAGTTGCGTCCTTTTATTCATGTGGGACGTGAGCAAATGCCAGAATTTAAAAAGTGTTTTCTTAATGGCAGAGGAAAAGAAGTATTTTCAATGCTCAAAACCAAGCAAGTATAAATTTTTCCTCTTGTTTGCATCAAAGGACAAGACGTTATTATTATGTCTTGTCCTGAACATGAACACAGAGGTTTGATTTTTTTTTTTAAATGTCCCTTTTAAGAGGCTCACACAATCCAAGGAACTAGAGAAACAAGCACACTTGAGAAAGCTTTTTCTGAGTAACATTTTTTTGTGTGTCCATTTTCACTGCTTTCTCAGATGCCTTCTAATATATGGGGATTTTTAACTGAAAATAAACTTTAGAGTGCCAACAGAGCTGTTTCGCCTCACTTCCTAAATGGAGCAAATGCAAAATAAATAACTAAGCAGCCTTTGTTTGGTTCTGAACCGTATGCAGTGTATTTTTGTAGCCTTTAGCTTCTTTTAAACTAATAAAGAATAAGAAAACTTGTTATGTTTAAAAAATATATAGTTAGAGGAAATACCCTAAACTGTGTTGGGTTATAGATAGTAAATTCTTAAAATGCTACTCTATTTTACAAACTTTACTTAGTGAACATTCACTATTTTATAATTACAAAAAATCATATTTCAAAAAAAAAAAAAGAAGGCTTGGCAGGAGGACAGGAACTTGGGCTGCGTCAGAATTATACTAGGACAGATTATTTTTCCCCAGTCTGGGGCCCTGAAGGAGCCTTGGTGACACAGTGGTTAAGAGCTCAGCTGCAAATCAGAAGGTCAGCATGTTCAAATCCACCAGCTGCTCATTAGAAACCCTATGGGGCAGTTCTACTCTATCCTATAGGGTTGCTGTGAGTTGGAATTGACTCGATGGCAACAGGTTTGGGGTTTTTTTGTTGTTGTTTTTTCTTGTTTTTGTTTTGGGGCCCTAAAGGGTGTCCAGAGACGGCATCAAGGGGGGTGGGGCAAGGCCCAAGTTTTATCAGGTGACACTAAGCATGTTCAGTAGCACTCAAGAGTATGCTGGGGATAGTAAAATGCCTTCCGGGGGGCAGCAGTGGTAGAATTGTCGCCTTCCATGCAGGAGACCCAGGTTCAATTCCTAGCTAGTGTACTTCATGCACAACCACCACCCATGCTTGGAGGCTAGCATCTTGCTACGATGCTGAACAGATTTCAGTGGCGCTTACAGACTAAGACTAGGAAGAAAGGCCTGGTGATCTACTTGGGAAAAATCAGCCAACAAAAACCCTATGGATCACAATGGTCTGATTTTGTCGTGTCTGGGGGTCACCATGAGTGGAGGCCCACACGGTGGCAGCTAACAACAACAATAACAGCCTTCCAGAAGAAGTTTGTACTAACTAGGACATTCCCACACAGGCCTCAAATATAGCAAACATTCCACAAAATGCAAAGATTGATGTTTTTACTGCCTGAAGCTGTGCAGTACGTAAGAGCCTAAGTCCGAGGAAGGCAAGGATCTGTCAAACATCTCCAAAGCCTGACCATCTGAGGGAAATTACTGGAATCTAAGATAGTTAACTACTAGAGAAATGAAAGATTTACTAGACCTTCCTGGCTCCTGGCCGTCATTTTGCATACTGGCAAGGAGAAATATGTGTAATTTCCAGGAGCAGCTTGTTATCAGGAGCCAAAAGAGAATGGAACCAAATATAAGTTTACTTTCCAAATAAACATGGGGGAGAAAGAATGGCCAAACATTTGGGTACACAAAAGAATTTTTTGCATGCCAAAAGTCTTAAGTTCATATGTGCCTGCCTAAACAACATTTAAGGAGCCCCGGTGACGCAGTGCTTAAATGCTCGACTGCTAACCAAAAGGTCAGCGGTTAGAACCCACCAGCCGCTCTGTGGGAGAAAGATGTGGCAATCTGCTTCGGTAAAGATTACAGCCTCGGGAACTCTATGGGGCAGCTCTACTCTGTCCTATAGGGTTGCTATGAGTCAAAATTGACTTGATGGCCACGGGTTTAAACAACATTCCCATCCAGCCCAGGGTGTCCAAAAAGCAGAGAAAGGAGGCGAGAAAGCTGAGAGGCTGGGGACCATGGTGGCTTACACTGTAATCTCTGAGAGCTGCTCTTTGGTTAGGTTCAGGGGTTGACTTATGACGGTGATTCCATATTCCTCCGGGTTCTTGTCCTCGTGCAGGCTGCCTCGTAAGATGGCATTGTGGGCCACGTTGAGAAAGCTGACAACAGCGTGCCAGCCTTTGTTGTTAAACCACACCTAGGGGAAGGCGGAGAAGGTGACTCTTAATCTGCGCTGTGTTGTGACACCTGAGACGAGGCCCTACTAATAACAGCTGTTTAAAGAAGAAGTTCACAACAGGAAAAAGAATGTGAGAAGGAGGAAGGGCTTGGCAGCTGGAAGACATTCCTCTCTAGATTTCAACAGGAGAAGGAGTGGAATTTAATTAAGTTGGGAAAATATAAATAAAATGACCAGCTCATTTGAATTTTTAGCTCTAGGGCATTTTATGTGGGTTAAGTACCTTAATGTTGTCTTCAGTTTCTAGAAGCTTAAGGAAGTCAGACATTTCTTTAGCGGCTTCTCTGGTGATAGGGCCCTACAAAACCATAGTAAACAAGCAAAAGGGTTTTTCTTTTCTTTTCTTTCTTTCTGTAGCACTCATGATAATTTATGTTTCATGATACTTGAGCAAGTCAAAAATCCTACCCAAATCTCCAGTTTGTGTACATACCCCGCTCACATTCATTATCTGGCCAAGGTCACTTAAAAACCCAACAAGTGCTTTCCCAGTGATGGGGAGAGCTGGAAGCTTTCCTCCAATGGAAATTCCTCCATACCTGATAAGGGAACAAGAAATCAGATCAGTGTGGTGCTTCGAGTCTACCAGTAGCTCTGTCAGTTTCTGTAGGGTGACGTGTACTTCTGGGGCAATCATCTAGACTAGCAATCGATATTGCTCCACTTGGCAAATCAACTTTTAACTCTTCCCCATTGCCTCTGGGATGAAGTTCAGACTCCACATCTCATTGCGCAAGGCCCTTCTGAGTCTGGTCTCTGCCAATCTCTGCAATCTCATCCCTCCTCACACTTTTCCTTCAATGGCGTATTCTGGCCATACTAAACCACTTCCAAAGCTCCAGGTGGTCCACGTTGCCTTCATGTCTCTCTGCCTTTGCAGGGCTACTAGCTTCCCTGGGGTGCCTTTTGCTTTCTTGAGCACCTGGTCAATTTCAACTCATCTTTCATATTTCATCATGTCTTCAAAGTCTTCCCTGACTACCTCCCCCGACCCCAACCAATGACTCCTTTGCTGTGCTACCTCTGTACTTTGTGGTACTTCTGGCATCATTTGACTCACCTTCACATCTAACCTAGACCAAGTCCTGCCATCTTTCTCAGTGCCTCTCAACCCCACCCCTGGTCTTGGCAGGTGGTCAGCACCTCCCGCCTTGACTCTTGCTCTAGCTTCTCAACTGGGATTCTAGCCTTGGGCCTTTCTCCCTCACAGATCTTCCACTATGCTCTGGAAGTCTAAAGTGATCTTGCTAAGACACAGATGTCCAGCTTAAAATCCTTCAATGGCAGCACAAAAGCCCAACTCCTCAACAGAATAAACTTAATTGGCATATTAGGCAAAGCAAGGGAGAAGATCTTTATTTCTCAGGGCCTCAAATTGTGTCACCTTTCCGCTTAAGCTGAGGCTCCACAGTTCCCTCCCAGGAGTGATTTCACTTCAAACCCATTTCACTTAAGGCGGCTTTTATGGTCTAGAATCTGCCCAGGAGATAAAGTCAATCTCAGCTCTGTATCCATTCTGGAGGCCAGTTCCTGAGAAAGCTTGGGAGGCTAGGTCACTCTTAGAATACCCCTTGGGGAGTCTCCAAACCTCTGAAACCACTTGAGCCTCCAGTGAGCCTCAGGAAGGTGGTGAGTCCTCGGGCTGGTACAGGAATGGGCCAAGGAGTGCCTAGGGCTTAGGTTATGAGACTCCTCATTGGAACATTCTAAACTGTATATGCTGGGGGGTTTTAGAACCTCCCTTTGGGTGAACTCTGGAACTTTTTTTCAGAGAATACCATCTCCCACTAATAACCTCCAGGGAGATCTACCACTGAGCATTTCCCGAGTTAAAGGTGTTGCTAGCCACCTAGCCTTCAGGATATGGCTTGTGAATTCCTGAGCACATACAGAACAGCCTGTCCACATGACTTTGAGTTGTGGCTTATTTATGTGCAGTTATTTTAAATGGATCAATCTGAGATCTGAATTTTTTATAAAAGTACTTTCTTACCTCTGTTCATTGACCCAGAACTTGCTCTTTAAGCTGAAAGTCAAAATAAAATCATACAATGAATACCATGAGGACAGCAGCAATGTTAGTTTCCTTCTCTTACAATCTCTGGATTGTCAGCCTTCTGGGGTGTTTTTGCATTTCCTGATATCAGGCAATGTGGGAACCTCCTAGCCTAGGTGCTGAGTGTGAATACACATATGGAGAAAGGATGGGATATTTCCAACACTGGCTCTCCACGTCTATCACACATGCTGGGTTTTCTTGAGTGTTGTCAGGGCATATATTAGACCAGTGGGTCCCACGTAGACCCAGAAAACATGGCAGTCACCATGCCCGTATGGAGTGAAGGCTGCTGCCCTCCCCTTGTCCACCTTCTGCTAAGGAGACTCTAATAATACCTGGGGAAAGTTCTGACTTACTCTACCACCTCAAGTTAAGAGACTAACTTTCAGCCAGCGGAGGGGAAGAGGGAGTAAAATTACAAGATTGGAAATGAGAAGACATCAGCTGTAGACTCCAGAGTTCAAGACTACGAACTCTTGTTATCAGCCATCAAGCACAAAATCCAAAATTACATACTGCAAATTTGTGGCTGAAAAGTTTGGAATGGCCGTATCTTTACAGAATTATTGAATAAACTCTATGCGCTCTGCTTTTATTTTTATGCGTGGCATTTTATTTTACTTTTATGCTTGGGTGGTGTTCTTCGTTTTGCTAACTGGTGATTTGGCACTGCCTTCTCAGCAGCTGCTTTCACCATCTGTAATGTGTTCCAGTTAATGGACACAGTTTATCCCTTGTCAAGGCTCTGGCAGGAAGAGCAACAGAAAGCCGTGTTAACATTAGACAGTATGTTTTATTTTAAAGCCCCAAAGCAAGTGGGGACTGGATCACTCTTCCTTACGAGCCCCTCTGTTGTCAAGCTGCTTGGTCTGATAGGGGGCTACTGAAGCTGGTTCATTCAGGGGTGGGGCTTGATAAGAATGGGTGAAGAGGAAAGTAGTATAGTAGATACTTACTGGAGAGTTCACTGGATTTTTTTTTTTTTT